TATCTATCTATCTATCTATCTATCTATCTATCTATCTATCTATCTATCTATCTATCTATCTATCTATCTATCTATCTATCTATCTATCTATCTATCTATCTATCTATCTATCTATCTATCTATCTATCTATCTATCTATCTATCTATCTATCTATCTATCTATCTATCTATCTATCTATCTATCTATCTATCTATCTATCTATCTATCTATCTATCTATCTATCTATCTATCTATCTATCTATCTATCTATCTATCTATCTATCTATCTATCTATCTATCTATCTATCTATCTATCTATCTATCTATCTATCTATCTATCTATCGAAATCGATTAAAAATTAACTGTTTAAATCCCTTTGACCACTACTGAACACCGTAAGGTAACTGTTGCACTTTGCTGTAATTTGCATGCATATTTATTACTGAAATGCTGGAAAGTATACAGGAACAATATTTCATTACTGCTCCAACACAACGAGTGGGAGCTGTTAAAAACAAAAAGAAGAAAGAGAAGAACAGCATGTAAACATTTGAAATGGGTCATTATTATGGCAGCAGCAGGTATGCAATTAAGTATTATATATACATCAATATATAAACCAAGCAGCTTTGTTTATTTAATCTCCACATTTGAATGACATCCATCGTTTTGAGAGATAAAATGCAAGACAGAAAACCTTTTCAGCAGTGCGTCTATTTTTCCGATTTTTAAGCAGGATATAAAATAATCAAATAATAAAGAGGATATTATTATTAAATATGAATTTATTCTTATTATTCCAAGCATATGACATTTTATTTATAGCAGACAACCATACGTTCGACTATCTGTCTGCCCATATATTTATCTTTCTTTCTTTCTGTCTGTCCATCAACGTAAGTATCCGTCTGTCCATCTGTGTATCCATCTATGTGTTCAATTCAATTTTATTTGTATAGTGCTTTTCATAATACAAATCGTTGCAAAGCAGCTTTACAGAAAATTTGGTAGTTTTGTATGTTGTTTCAGGCTTGGCATCATCTGAGGAGCAGTGCGTCTATTTTTCTGATTTTTAAGCAGGATATAAAATAATCAAATAATAAAGAGGATATTATTAAATATGAATTTATTCTTATTATTCCAAGCATATGACATTTTATTTATAGCAGACAACCATACGTTCGACTATCTGTCTGCCCATATATTTATCTTTCTTTCTTTCTGTCTGTCCATCAACGTAAGTATCCGTCTGTCCATCTGTGTATCCATCTATGTGTTCAATTCAATTTTATTTGTATAGTGCTTTTCATAATACAAATCGTTGCAAAGCAGCTTTACAGAAAATTTGGTAGTTTTGTATGTTGTTTCAGGCTTGGCATCATCTGAGGTCCTCTGAGGGGTTGGCATCATCTCTTCAGATGTTTGTAAGGGCTGGATCCAGACTGAAGCTTGTGTAATTCCTAGTTACCTCGGGATGCCAATCCCATCTGTCCATCTGTCTGCCTTTATGTGTATCCCTCTGTCTATCTATTGCACTTTAAAGCCCTTTAAAATCACACTAATCCATTCAGGTCAGCAATTTTAGCATTACCGATATATAAACACTTAAAACATTGATCACATGCTCACTGTTCTATAGGATGAGTCACACTGATGTTTTACTTCATCATATTCATGGTTTAGACCATGCAGCTATAGAAAATAACAAGAGATCAGGTGACGTGTGCTGCGTGTGCATGAGTCACAAGTGATTAAAGAAGCAACTGCTTTCTTTCAAGCATATGAATAACCGTGACTTAGGGTGACACAGTGAATCACCTGCATGCTTTTAATACAGCTTGCTTTTACTTGCATAATGTATTTATTTGGGTGAAATGCGCAGGTCTATTTGTGGGTGTATATTTTGCTCATCATTATTCACAGAACAGCCCCAGTGTTTTCAGATGTGTATTGATAGACTCAGAATGGACACACACACACACCTGCAGTAAAAAATAAAAATGTATTCAGTCTAGGGTTTGACAATGTTGACTTATATTGGTGAACATGCCGTTAAAATGCATGGGAACAACGCATATTTTAGAATCAGTGCAAATACGGTTCAATAGTGATAGACTAACACCTACCACAGACAATCAGTCAGCAGTTCTGTCCTGTCCAGTTTAGTGTATCAGTGTGTAAAGGACTATATGGTGCACAATGAAAACTAGCATCCAAAAAAAAAATTCTTTACAGTGGTACATTCATATCATGTCACGTAGGAATTATGGTATTTGCAAGTTGAATGAACATGACTGTAATCACAATTATACACTACATTTTAAAACGTTTGGGGTCAGTTTTTAAAAAAATATAAATTAACACTTTTATTCAGCAAAGACAAAAATTGTTCAAAAGTGACTGAAGACATTTACAATGTTACATAAGATTTCTCTTTTAAAATGCTGTTCTTTTAAGCTTTCTATTAATCAGAGAATCCTGATTTCTTCTGAGTAAGAATCTTGTGGGAAGCAAATTGTTATTGATCATAAGTTTTAAATATGGATGTTGACGGTACAATTCGGTTTGCACATATTTTGTGTAATGTTAATGCGTTTACACTAGAAAGCGTCTCGTCTTTGTCAGGAACTGGAAATGAGAGAGAAATATGTTGCATACACCTTTATTTTCTTCAGTATACTCTTCTGCTTTTGAATGTACATGTACACCCTTTTACATACAGAGTCCACCCAAACATCTAAGACAAAATCTGCAAATGCAACATTAAGGCTAGCTATCCCTGAAGCACTGTTTCTACTGTCTCTGTGCTGTAGCTTCCAGCTACATGAAGCCAGCTGATCCATGCTTTATCTTACCTTTACGCAGCTGTGTACTTATTTGATATAGAAATCCAGTTTTCTTGGCAGAAAAAAATCTTTTGAAAATGAAATTGTAAGAGAGAAAAAACACACAGCATTACATATTTTTTTTCAATCTAAGCAGATTATCTATGATCTCTTTAGGCCAACTGAGGCCAAATACAACTGCTTAATAAAGCAAAGATTGACAGAGATAAGGGAATGAGTCTGCTGGCCAGTCAGACGAGATGTAGATCCCAGATGCGTGCTATAATCATATTTGACAGTGTCACAAAGAAGAATGTACTGTATGCGTAGGTGCAATTTTACACATGCATGTGTTTGTTTGTTCCTTCTGCTTTCTCCATCTTGTTTATTTTTTTAATCTTCTATCAGATGCATTCATTTATTCCATATTTCTGCCTGTCATGAGAAATCCCATCTGCAGGTGCACTGAATCATTGAAATAATTTTGCCTTGGGAATAAGATTTGCACAGTGGCTGAACGGTTTCTGTCCTCCTGTAATGACTCAGGAAACTTAAAGAAAGTTACTATAATTTTTCCGGCTGACTGGTGGTCCAATCTCAATGTTCAATCCATTTTACTGCATAGGGAATAGAGTGGCGATCTGGTAATTTCTCTTCCTGGTAGATAATGAGGTGTTTTTCCCTTCTCCCAAATAAAACCATTACAGTGGTAATATATTATATTATGCAACACATTTTCATAAAGTATTCACCATACTATACTGATTCTACAGTCAAGAATACTTTGCCTCTATGGTTTCTTAGCAGCATCCCACTGGACGTTTTCCTGGAATCTATATCTTTGTCCCAATTGCCTTTTAGAGATGCTGTTGTCCACTTTATTATACATTAAATAAGTGGTTCCTTATGAAGTGCACTTGAAACGCTAGCAGGCGGAAATGGGATTAATCCAATCTTTGTCATGAATCTGCCCAGCCCAGTAATTGGAGCTCAAGCCTTGGTAATTGGCTTTATGAAGAGGAGGAGTGAAAGAGGGAAAGCGAGAAACCATCCTTTCTCTGCGTATTATTGATGTGATGAAGCTTTTATTTTCCATAAAAGATATCAGGAACACCTCAGTTCATTCATCTGTATATGACTAGTTAATCCTATTTCAGAGAAGTACAGATGTACACATAGCTTCAGTGGGGTCAAGGTTTAGCTGGTTAGCATGGCCCCATTTGCCCCTGCAGGGATAGATGCTGTAACCACAGACCTTAGTTAACTACAAAGCATCTTTTTCATTCATGGACATTTAAAAAGCTGTATGTTCTGACATTTTTTTGTTGTTGCACGAAACGATGAATTATATATTAGCAGTAATAAATTATAATACAGCAGATTTAAAAAAAAAAAAAATAGAGACTCTCTGTGAGAATTTTTCACAGGGTTGCCAAGTCTGCGGTTTTAGCGCAGTTATACATTTACACTGTTGCTGTGGGTTTTTTTTAGTCCGCAGTTTAAAGAGAAAGTTAAATGCGATTGGGCTAGTTTTGAATAGCAGTTGGGCTGGTTTGATTTCACAGACCTGGCAACCCTGGTTTTTCCCTGCCCGTTTCTTTTGTCTGAACATATTAGCTGGTGAAGGTTTTGGGCAGTGCCATCGAGATATATCCAGCTGCAGACCCGCAGCACCAGCAGTTTCAGAACCGCAGCCACAGAACCGGAAGTGAGGGGCGGAGAGGGGCGACAACGAGAGAGCACGGTGAGTAGTCTGTAATGTTTTTGCTATCATATGTTTAATAATTATCGTATATATTACGTTAAACATTTATCTGCTAAGTACTTAATGTGTGCTTGGCTTTATTATCTTATATTTATTATCTTATATTGTCATACTTTATAGTATAGAACTTGTTTCTGTGGATGTTTCGATTAATTTTCAGATGCATGTTGTAAATGGGCCTTGCAGTGAAGTTTTGAAGATGTTTATTATTCATTAAAAATAAATAGTTTGCTTTATTTTTCTCTGTTATATGCATTGTTTGTGTGTTAATATTATCTTATAGTTTAGTTATTTTAATCCCATTTGTCATCACTGAGATAATTGTGTGTGGCTTCATCTCTTGTAGAGACATAT